GGCCGTACAGCAGGAATTCTGGGAGTTGAAGTCCACTCATCTTAAAGTGGCCAAGTTTGGACAACACTGCTCTATGGGTTTTGCTGGGATCACACAACATACTGGAATAACATGGGATTGGCTAGTTGTGGTTGTGGAAACCAGAAATACGGGTGAATTCCAAGAACAATTGAACTAATCATGCCTAGCACATTGCAGAAATCCAACAGTTGAGTGCACAGGGAGATGGGCACCTATATGAATGGAATAAACAGTAATGATCCCAGAAACCACTATTAACTGACCTCAGAAAGAAAACGTTTGATCTACTCCCTAAACTGACTATTTGCTTACGGGTTGTGCAGGAAAGCCCCCAAATATCTCTATTTATAATATGTGGGGTGCTGCTGCTATAGCTTTAGTCTTTCTTGGGCAAGGCAAATAGGCCTGAATCTGGCAAAATATCCTGACATAGTTCACAGAATGCATTTAATAAACCACAGTTGGCTAAATTCATACCATAAACCATGATCCATAATCCCTGGGTTCACACAATACACTACACCTAAAGCATGCTGGCTGGGGAATTCTGGAGTTGACGCCCACACATCTTAAAGTTGCCAAGTTTGAAAAACACTGACCTAAAGTAAACAAATTACATTGTGGCTGTGTTTTACCCAACACACTCATGGTTAATCACAGTTGACTCAATAAGCACCCTTTCTGGGTTTACATGACACACTGACCCGTATATTAACCACACAGGGTGGGTTTGTGCAGCATACTAAGCTGTAATTTGACTGGCTTATTTAAGGCTTGGTTGTTAAACCCAGCCACTGAGAATCTTAGATAACAAGAGAATAAGTGGCACAATGTTTAACTCCCCATGTGCTGTGTTTGCTGAATGACTGCAGACTCAAGCTTGCATGACACATTCATTCACAAATGAGCCAACCACATTGTAATCTAATATGTTGTATCATCCCTATCCGGTTAGTTTATAATTCAATGTGTTGTGTGAATACAAAACATGGAGTTAATTGTATGGATAAGCCTATTGTGCAAAAATGGCCTGTGTGGTACAAGCTCAGACAAATGCCGTTTTGGATGTTTTCATCCCAGATCACTTCCCTGACATATGATGGTCGACTGGCAGGGCCCAGAAAGAGAGCCTTCTCTGCCATGGCACCTGCCCAATGAATACCCTTCCCCCGGAGGTGAGGCACCCTGCTCTCTTGACCTTCCAGAAAGCAGTCAAGACCTGGCTCTGCCAACTTGCATGGGGCGAGAAAAGGGACAACCAACCCTGGGGGTGGCTAGCACCTTGAAGATGCTCCCATATGTTAATATCTTTTTGATCACCAGCACCTTGGAAGATATAATTATGTATGTATGTATTTGGTTTTATTGTATTTTATACTATTTTTATTGTATTTTAACTAATCTTTATTTGTTGTTTTTATTGTAAACCGCCCAGAGTCACTTCCTTGTGAGATGGACAGTGTCCAAATTTGAAATATAAATAAATAACTAAATACATTTCTTGTGATTTTTACAGAGACCCTTAATGCAAAAAGTGGGATCAAGTACACTTTGATATCTTACTGTTCAAATTTGTCTCTGCATACTCTCCAGACTTCTGTCCCAAGATGTGACTCACCACATTGCATAGATGGAGACAGTCTTGGTTGGAATTCTTTACAGTCGGTTATAAACTCCAGAGTATGCCTATTTTCTAGCTGCAACATTATTTATATTTTTCACTGCTTACACATGGAGCTTTAATAGAAGAAACTATGGCTCCAGTTAGAGATTCTTCCTTTTGCACCTCTGCCTTATCTTTTGATGACTTCTTAGCCTCTGGCTAAAATAAAATTTAGTTCAGAGAGGCCCCACCCTGGTAGTAACTTCTATAACAACAGTCTACTTGCTTTTTGAATTAAAAAAACATTTATCTGAAAGAGAAGCAAATTATTCCGAACCTAGTTCTTTCATGTCTGTAGGGTCACAGCTCCAGCTTTTAAAAACAGGAAAACCGTGGAGGAGCTTTTGCAGCAGAAAGGGTTAAATGAAATCCAACTCTCCTTTTCCTGTGCTGTAAAGGATTAGTAACCAAACAGAAGCTCAAGGCAAGATAGAGTGTCAGAGCCACTGACAGAACTCCAAGTCCGGGAAGCTCTGGGTTCTTGGTCCTCTCACGCTCCAGGAGTGGCATCGCTGCCTTTTGCCCTCAATCGACAAGCAGATCCCAGCATCAGGTAAGGGTGAGCTTTGGATTACAGACTAAATCTTGGTGCCTCTTGCTGTCCACTCTTTGTTTAATCAGTTTGATCAAAGTTTCAAAAGTTAGAAGCAAAAGAGTGTCATGCAAAGGGGAGAACTTTTAGTGATAAATGTCATCATTTGGCAAGTGGAGAAGAAGGGATGTTTACATGTGAAATTAACTTACAGTTAACTCCTTCGGAGCCCCATTTCTTCTAGCACAGCCCAAAGCTCTGATATTTTGATGGGGAGCAGGTAGACTTGTTTGTTTTATATCAGATCTCCTCCTTCCACCGTTGAACAGAAAAGGCTGTATGTACAGTTTGTACATTCAGTAGAGTTTGCATATGCGGGTTAGGATTGAGAGCACTCGTTTATAAGTGGGTTACTTGGTTTTCTCTCTGCACCTGCTTTTTCTTCATTCTGTGTGCTTTGGAAAAGGACACTCATACTGCAGCCACAGGAATAACCAGACATTCCCATGAACGCCAGAAGCTAAACAAGCTTAGTTCAGCACAAGGCAAGCAGCTGTGGGTGACACAGATCGTGGTGGTTGCCATCGGCTGATGAGAGAATCATGTTGCTACAGGCTCATGTAGTTGTGGGAACAATTCCACAGATTATTTGGAGCCGTGTACGTGCGTGCTTGATCCTGTAAACAGTTTTGGGGGGTTGGCTTTTTTCTCTTTTATTATTTATTTTTTGGATGAGAAAAAAATAAAAGTGTTCGGCAGGCTTTGCAGGATCAGGATGTGCATACTTGGGTTCTGCATTTCTATATTTATCTGTGTATCCAAAGTCTGTTTGGGGCCAATAAACAGAATGCATTCAATTGCATTCTGCAAATTGAATGAGGGTTTTCCCACAGTTGTGAGGGTTTTCCTCATATGTGCTTTCAAGTGGCACACAGACCTTGCCCTATTGGCAAAGAGAACACCTGCCACAAATAAGATTGTGTGGCTTGAGGATTCCCTCCTGTGCTTGAAGCATCTTGTTGACCAAACATATTGCCTTCATGGGTTGGGTGTCAATGTTCAGTCAATGTCTGGCCAACAGGTGACTCATAGATCCTACTATCCAATGACCTGATGGAACAAAAAATGTTTTCACCTTTTTACATCTTCTCTGGTCACCCCTTACAACATGTCCTCTGGCTTTATCTCCCCAATATGGGTGGTGAAGCATTCAGTGCTCTGATGGGACCTGCTAGCTATAGCAAGGAAAAAATAGGAAGGACCAGCAAAAGACAGTTTAAATGCTGGGCTGTGGACAAGTTAAGGCCAATATAGTCTAATTAGGAAGGGACACGGGGGTTGCAGTCCAATCTGGTAACCACAAACAAGAAAAGAGCCACAGAGAAATTCCCTGTCTTGAAAGCTACCTGAGAGAGGTAGGAATCCAACAGCTGTGTCTGAAATGCTGAAGAAGCTGCATTTTCAGGGAGGGTTCAGTGGTCAAAACGTATGCATTGTGGGCCAAGTGTTAGGTTTAGGCTCTGGCAGCCTGGTAGAGCAAAGCAGGGAATGAGGCATACGTTATTTCTTGTCTCAAGGGTCTGGAGAGGACTGCTGGTCAATAAAGAACAGCCTTCTCTGACCTGGTATTTTCCAAATATATTGGACCTTAGTTTTCACAATGTCCATGCTAACAGGTAATGATAGGAGTTCAAATCTGACATCTAGAGAGCACTAAAAGCTGATTCAATAACACTGAGCTAAATGGGATGATAAGGCACAAGCCTGCTTCTAACATTTCCATGAAATGCCAAGCATTCCTGTTATGTTAATTAAAATTACATTGTAAGTTGCCTTTTCAGCCAAAGGCTTCCATGGTTATGATGATAAGCTAGACCAAAGATTGCAAAAATAATATAAACAGAGCAATATAGTGAAGAAAAGAAGCTTGATATTTAAAAGCTGCAGGAACATAATGCAACGATCTGCAGCCTGCGAGCGATGGATAGGCCAGGAAGTCATAATAAATCTCTTCCGCTGTCCTTAGCAGTGGCAAAGCAGCAACCTACAATGTACTGCTCCAAGAGATAAGGTCACCTTGTTGCTTTACTCTTCCTACCCAAACCAAAGATTGTGAAAAATAAGGGAAACAAGGGACAAACAAAACTGAGGGTTTATTAAGCGGTATGGGTTGACATGAATGGGTGCACGCATGTTAACCCCAATCTCCAAGATGATGATCAGCACAGCTCCTATATCTATTCTATGGTGGTGTGAGCATTGTCCTCCAAAGCCATGCTGGTTTGGACCACAAAAGAGTCTGGTTCTTTCTAAGTGGGTACTCACACTTTACCCACCAAGTCTCCAAGCCAGTTTCATCCCAGAGGCCTGAATCAACCTGAATGGCAGCAGATCAAAGGAGGGGGTGGTAGGGTTGTGCCATGAAACAGGAGAGAGAGTTGATTTTCATGGTGCAACCTCCCTGCCCAGGAGTTGTATATGGGTCTTTTGAACACTAGTTTAGTGCTTAATAATAGCTCACAAGTGCAGGGGAGGTATATATACTGGCTCCCTCTTCCACATCACTGCACAATGTCCATCCTCATAGCACTTATCAACTATTACTTGGGCAGTTTTTAAACAGAGATTTAGTTCTGCTGGAAAGAGTGCTAAACCAGTGTTTAAAACTAGGCTGCCTGCCAGCTGACAGCTACTATGGAAGATGAGTGGAGAAATAGAAAGCACTCTCCTGCATTGCGCAACCCATGCCTGTCACCTGTTGTTGGGTTGCTTTTAAATGGGGGGAGAGGTTAATGCTCTTTCAAAAGCCCTATGTCAAACCCATGTTTCAAACTAGCCTGACTTAATGATTGGCAGCTCTCTCCCACTTCACCATGCCGCCCTCCCCCACCACACACATACACACACCTGTCATTTGGAAGTCAAGACAAACCTGGAGCAAATTTTGACAGATGGCTAAAAGCGTTGGACTGGCTATCTGCCAAAATTCCTCCCTGCCCTTATCCCATGTTAAGGAGAGTGACAGTTTCCCCATTGGTTGATATTTGGCGGAAAGGAAGGGAAACAAAGGGTGTGTCTCATGGCTGTGTGGAAATGCAATCCACCAGTCCTTAAGAATTTTATGCCTGCCCTCCCCCCTGCCCCCCAGTAACTCCTGTCCTACCAGGCAGGTCAGCAAATGGTGCTGTCATTCTTGGTATATTAAGGACAGGGGTTGGTAGATTCCCCTGGCTTTGTTTCTTTCCCCTTCCACCAAACATCACCAGCCGTCAGAAAGCATCCACCAATCACTCTTCTTAAGAAGGGATGGGGAGGAAGTGAGTTTGGGCAGATGGCTAGACTGTTGGGATTAGCCATCTGTCAAAACATGCTCTTGTTTGGCATGGGTGCATTCAGATGGAGCCTGACCATCAACTGGTATCAACTGATAGTTGGCGTAATTTTTGACAGAGCTTTAGAGCTATTCAAGAAGAGCATTAAACCCATATTTAAAACAGACTGAGCAACTACTGACAGATGTGGGAAGGGTTGGGCTACTGCTTGAATGGCTGATGCAGGTTTTCACAAAGACCTAGCAGGGACTGGATTATTCTGCTGTCCAAACTGGAACATTCCTGGAGGACAATGTCCACAATAGCATAAATTAGGTGTAGATGCTGGGCTGATCCCACCCCTTAGAGTTTGCTTCACTGTACCACCAAAAGAATGGTTGGTGAAGCATGTCAGACTGTGCCCTCAGTTAAGCTGCCATGCTTGTTACTTGTCTAAGGGAAAAGAAACTAACTGGATCAAGCTGGGTTGGGCAAAAAAAGAGTTTGTCAGGGCATGATCATGCCAGGGTTAGGTGTAAATGGGGAAAGGCTCATAGCTCAGGGAATCCACTGATAGATTTCCTTAGTGTGCCCTGCACAGAGTTAGTAAGAATACCACCATTTGGCAGAAGCATCTCTATGACAGGACAAGGGTTGGTTGTGGTGGTAGCAAATTATCTGCAAAAATAGTTTTCAGTTGGCAAAAGGATGTATGGATAAGCCTAGCCCTTACAGGAGCTAGCTGCCAGGAGGAAAGTCAGCTTTTTTAGGAAGTTCAAGAGCTCTCTTTGTATTCATGCCTGCGATCTTCTTCTTGTAGTCTGTGACTCAATGAGGCATATTTGATCATATCAGCAGCATGATCACCCTGTGCAATTCCTAATCTGCTTTTAAAGACATTCTACCAAACAGGACACAGTAAGAAATTCTATAAGATAGTCACTAGGTGCTGAATATCACACTAAACTATGGTTTGCTTTACCCATGGGTTGTGGAGCAAACTATAATGAGTTGGGTCACACTGAATGCTAAACCACGAACTGTGACTTATAGACAGCAATGGCTAGTTTCACACATTATGCTAGGTTAAAACCAAATAGATATGAATGTAGTACAGTGTGTGAACTCAGTCAATACTTCCTCTTACAGTTGGACTCTGATCTATCAGGACCCCAACTTCTATGAAAATGTTCATGTAAGTGGAAATGTGGAACCTGTATCTGATATGGTTGTTACTTATGAGAGTGACTTAATAACACAGCTTGATCTCATGAATCCAGCTGGGATCAGGATAGTGTCAGCCACCTCATCCATGGTGCCTCTATGCTGTGCTGAAAATCATGGTTACCTAGAAGTTTGTTTGAATGTATGCAGCCCTAACTCAGTGCAATCAGTACATTGCAACATGCACAAATGTGTGTATATGTGTGTGCACACACAAGCGCACACACATTGTGGCAGTGATGCCTATATGTGGTAGGTGCTACATAGATGGCTTCTCAGCTAACCTGGTATAAACCAGCTAATCCTCTTGTTTGTACAGGGACTTATGTCACTAGAGGCGATATCTCTTCTTTATAGGGATAACAGCAGGAAAAGAGTATGTTTTTTCATGGAAATTATAAAGTTCAGCCCCAAGTATCTTACCTGCAGGTTTGGGGGCTGCTGCTGCCCTTCATAAGTGGACTAATTATCTGACTGGGTACAAGG